GGGGGGGGGGGGAAGTGGATAGTTCTTGAGCATTTTTTTCTGTGTTTAGCACTGGCATATGAGAATTTATGTTTTTATGTGTTTCTTGCTTCTTTTTTGTGTAGTTATGAGTTTTTATGTTTTGATATTTCTATTCCTGGTTGGTTGGACATAGTTTGTTTGTTTTTTTATAAATTTATTTCTTAAGGTCTTTGACAACATTACAAAAATTCCATTAAACACTTGGAATCAACAATTTAAGCTACATTCACTAGCTAAAACTACTTTGGTCATGGGCTTGTGAATCCAAAGAACAAAGTGTGAGGAATATGTATTTTCAATTTAGTCAGGGTACGTACTTTCTTTTTAGTCTTGTAAAAGACTGCATAGATTGACCAATGGAGTAAACCCTTCCAAAACTTGTAAAATGATGACTCTAGATTGACCACTAATGTTACGTTTAAAGGATAGGGGATGTGTGAAGCTGCCATGGAGGTGTGGGTGCACATTTAATCTCTAATGGAGAGGGCTACCACCCTAATGGTGTGAAAACTACCTATACAAAATAGGTGTACACATTAAATTAGGAGAAGGCTACCTATTAGGGTTGAGTGAAAGCTAATGTTGAGGTAGGTAGATGTATATGCTTTACTTCTAACTAGGCCTCATCATTTGGCCCGCGGGCTCATGGGCCGATGAGGGCCCGCCCGGCCCATCGAAAAAAAGCCCGGCCCGGCCCGTTATGGGCTTTGAGATGGCCCGGCCCGCCTTGGGTCGGGCCGGGCTTGGGCTTGAGTGTTTGAAGCCCGGCCTGACCCAGAGGCCCGGCCCGATTAGGTCTAAGAAAGCCCGGCCCGGTCCGCCCACAAAAGCCCGGCCCGTTAGGCCCGCATACATATATAATTATGCATAAATAAGAGTTTAGGATTAGGATTATATCACTTAAATCACATATATAATTTGTTTCATTTCATTTACTTTTCTTTACTCATTCCTAGTTTTATAATTGGATGATTAGCACATTAATTTAATTTGTGTCAATTATTAATACAACAATTATATATATATAAATAAGATGAACAACATATCATATCACCAAATATAATCATATCACGAAACATAATCGTACCACCAAATATAATCATGCTTTTTGAACACATCACCAAACATTTGCATATTTATTCATACCATCCTTTAAAAAAAAAAAAAAATTTATACTTATTATTTTTAAAAATTATTTCTTAAAACGTATTACGGTCTAATTATGTAATAACCTCAAAAACAATAATTGGTTTTATTATTTTTGTAGAAAATCTTATTAAGTTGTGTGACTTTATTAGGTGTTTTATGAATTTGGTTTGATGTGAAAATATTGGAATTAAGTGAGTTTAATCTCAAATTTGGACTAAAATGCCCTTATGATTAAGTTTATGATTTTTTTCGATTGAAGTAGGCCCGTTTTGGCCCGGCCCGTTGGGCTAAGCCCGGCCCGGCCCGATGGGCTTTCTCAAGCCCGGCTCATGGGTCGGGCTTGGGCTTTGAATTTTCTAAAAAAACCCGGCCCGGCCCGGCCCGCTATTTTCTCTCTCCTCTTTAAAGCCCGGCCTGGCCCGGCCCAAGCCCATTAAATTTGGGCCGGGCTAGCCCCGGCCCGGCCCATTGACGAGCCCTACTTCTAACAGAGATGGCTACCACCCTAATAGAGTGAAAGCTACCACATTAACGGCTTCCTATATTATGAAGCTAGTACACCATTTTAGTAAACATGGAGAGGGCTACCCGTTAGGGACTGTGTGAAAGCTACTATTAGAGTAGGTGCGCACTTAACTTCCAATGGAGAGGGCTATCGCCCTTATAGTGTGAAAGCTGTTATACAAACGTCATTCTAGAAAAGAAAAAAAACAAAACAAAACTTTGTATTGGGACTTCAAGTGCAGAGGCTTGAATAGGACTAAATAGAACTTGAGTGTACTTGACTTATCGGGAATGCATCCCCTCTCACAATTTTCATTGATTGAAACAAGCCCTATACCATAGTAGTTACAATTATAACTTATAGCTTGTTGATTTCATGACTTATATTATACTTATATTATTTATATGTTGTCACTGATGGAATCATATTTAAGTTTGGTTCATCGTTTAAATATGAAACTTGCAGTGAAGATGTGTTGTTAAGATATTTGGATTGCAGAATTACTTTTCTGGGAAGGAAGAGATTCAATCGGGAATTTAAATTGATTTTATCGCACTACCCCTCTGATGATTTCCAAGTCTTAGAGTGGATAATAGGCAGAGGGGTAAATGTAAACCTATTAATTTGGTTTATTTCCTTGTAGATATATGCATGTGAAATGGGTGCAGATCATCAGGCTCGCCAGGAAACTTATTAATTTGGACATGGTAATGTATATTTTGTTTGGCTCCTTTGTTTATTTGAATTTGTATTAATCAAGGTATGACGCAATGATTGTCAGTTAAATCTCTGTCTTTTATATAGAGTGGAGTTTGGACATGATTTTGCATTTCTGATGCTATTGGGATGCTTAAATAGAATTTATTTAGATATGAAGATACTGGAATTATTATATCATGGATTTAGCCTGATATAACATATTCAAACCTCAAGAATTGTTAAACTAACACATTTGGGAAGAAATTTGAGATTTGAGTTCTGCATATTGGCCTGGATGACATATATCTTGCATGTTATTGTACTCTGCCATATCATCCTTCCTTATTGTGTTTTGCAAATGTACTTGACTTATCCTTACTGCCCTAACCCTCTCTCTCTGGCTCTCCCTTGCTCATTGGCTCCCACATCTAGCACAGACAAACAGGTAAGTAAAGTCTCTATCGTTTTCAGGTTTTTTGCTTTAAGTCCCACTCATCAGAAAACAGACAGTACAATTGTTCGGTTCATTTTTACACATGATTTATCATGTTATTCACCCATTATTTTGAGTTAGTTCTTGACATTTTATAGCTTTTTACTTCATTTTTGTGTTTTCATAGGTTTTACCTTAGTTAGAATGAAAATGAGCTAAAAGTGCATTATTGGTTATATATTCTGATTTTTGTTCATTTTCGTAGGTCAACTTCGTGGCCTTGGATCAGCATGCTCCGTTGCTTGGATGAGGTGATGATCTTCATGAAACTTATTCCAATGGATGTTAACTACAACATATCCGAATTTTACCTCCATCGGACAAGTGTAGCCTATCCAACTGATCTAACAATTGATGCTGGCTCTGGAAGTCTGTTTTGGGCCAGTTTTCACCCCAACTTAATAGCATTTTATTTCTACTTGTTACCACACCATTTGGTAACAATGGATTGCATTTGAGTGAGATTTCCTGAGTCAAATGGAGCCTTGGAATATACTTTAAAACAAAACTTCATCATTTGCAAGGAGACAAGAAGACAATAGGTGAAGACTTTGGAAGAGAATATTAAAAGTAAAAGCTGGAAAGTGAGCTGGAAATGATGGGCAAAGGCAAAGGGATTGCAATCTGATTTGGGAGAGCTTTTGAACGTGGGATTCATCCTTGGTGTGATATTGATCAGGTTTTGGAGCAAAAAGAGCTAGAGGAGGAAGAGGGGAGAAGACTTCTACCATTGAAGACTTCAAGCTTTCATCATTTCCAAATCTGTAAACTCTTTCTAGTTATATTTTGAATGTGTTTGAAATGATTATGATGAACTAAACTCCATAGCTAGGGCTTAGGTTGAAGCCCTAAACATGAAAACCTTATTGTTTTGATGCTTGAGTGTATGAATTTCTAGATATTGTTGATGAATTCCAATTCACCAAATTAATCTATCCTTGATGTGTGTTTTTCCTTGGTTGGCCATCTTTGAAAGCATGCTTCTTGAGATTGTTGGGATTATGTGTATCTTCATGTTAGCCTAAGCAATAAATGGATGAAGTAAGAATCATTCATGTGAATTGGTTTCTTGAATACCTAATGTAAACACCATGCTATTAGGATTCATGTGATGTTCATATTCTCTTTGAACTTAATGGGTTTTCCTTGTAATTGAATCGAAGTACGAACCATACCTAGGTTCGGTTATGGGGAGGGCACAAGTATTGTAGCACGAACCATGCACTTTACGTATATTAGAGAGAATCAATGCGTCTTGAGCCACGACCCATGGTCTTGATTGCGAACATCTTCATCAACAAGTTTAGAGTTCATCACTTGAGTATCCATGAACAT